ATTTCGTTCTGTCGTTTTATTTTTTTTGACAACTAAAATAAAAAATACAATATTTTTTTTTTCATGTCATAATCAGCTTATTGTAGGTATATACACATACAAGCCATAAGGTGTCTCCTCCAATAAGCTATACAATACTATACATATCAATATATTATTCGTAAGTATATAACTATAACAAAGTCATAGATAAATTTCAAATTCACAATAATATGCAGTTTTAAATTTATGAACATACAATGTTTATTACAATATAATGAGAGTTTCGATGAATCATGTGTTGCCAGCGTGGGGTTTTACTATACAATTGTTATAGACTTATTGCTGCTTATATCAGGCAAGACTTATGTTATAGTCGCGTGTAGACGCACGTGCATTTGCAGTGCACGCGTCGGACAGGTGTTATATGTTACCTGCAGTGTCTTCGTCGCGGTCGTTCCGATATAGTTATGTATAGACATGAAAAAGGTATACAATTATTATTTCTGCGCACACCACTCATCCCAACGGTTTTGAAAAAACAAGGTTCCTTTCAATCTTTGTTCAATTCATTATATGTGCCTATAACTTATGTTGTTTTACTCGTTCTATATACCACCGGGCAAGTTCACAAAAATTGTACCGCACATAATACCTATATATTAGGTAGGTACCTATACTGATAAAAAATATTATATACCTATTTATTATGATGGATACTAAAATATAATGCTTATAAAAAAAACGTCTGTTTTCCATTTTGATGCGTTGAACATTTTGCAGGATTCATTGTTTATTTTAACTTTCAACAAATTGACTCGGGAGGTTCAACCGTATACACAACGTGGCACATATAATCATTATACATACACGACTGCCGGTGAATAATAATCGATTCGGTACAGACGCACGTCTGCATCGCACATATTGACTTGTCTAATATTCTACATAAATTGAATTAAACCCTGGCAGACGAATTTATTGGACCCGACGTTATATATATATGAAGATAACGACGACTGGGACGAGGAACTAACCACGAAGAAAAAGTGTACTGGAAAAAGACAATATTATCTTGTATATAGGTACTGGTTCAGCCTCTATCTTCATATTATTCGGTTGGGGCCGACGGGACAGTATGAGATGAAGAGTAAAATCGAAAGCGCGGTTTTATTTTTTGATCAACTAAGAAAACTCGTTTTGCTATTTATAGCGCACATAGTTTTAAACGGATTAAACTCTGACGTCATTAAATCCGTCTTGTGCGGCACACGGCACAATAGTCAATAACGCTATGTACGCCCTGTGCTAGTACTTTGGCGAACGTAATTAGATCGACCACGACGACGTGGGAGCAGACATATGATGTGCGGGCTATATACTCTATACAGTATATACATGTCATATATATTTATATTTTTACATATGTGTTTGTATGTAACCGGCAGTGTGAATAATTGAAGTATTATCTGCATAATATGCTGTGCGATCTTAGGCAATATGCATAATAGTAATTATGTTTCAATTTCAATCTTAAATTCACTTGGCATTATGAACAATTAGTTAAATGACTAGTCATTTCTTAGAATGCAAATATTGTAGTCTTAGGTTATATTCAAAACCTATTATTTGTTCAGAATTATCTACTGCATACAGTATTTTCTGTTAATTTTTGACATATTTTTACTAACTCACAATACAATTTAGATATTGTATACATTATAATTTCATAAATTGTAATTTGATATTAGACCTTACCTTGTTGTTGACGTGTTGTTAACTGATCACCAGGCTGAATAGACCGAATTCTGACCGATGGTCATACGCAACTGCTGGTAATTACAATATGACATTTTTATATGATATTTAGTTTATGATTATTTGATTAAAGTTACATTGTTACAATACCAGCTATATTTCGATTATCCCATTAGATGGTGAAAAACATTACCATTTTGTGTATTATTTCATGTTTTATAATTTTAAATATTCTATTTTGATTAATTCAACAATGATTAAAACATTATAGGTAGGTACCTAAAATCTCATTAACCTCAATAATATCTAAAACAAAATAATTATTTATTACATTGCCTAATTAACTTAGGGCATTGTATTCAGTACCTAGTAAATATAATAATTATGCACATTGACTGGTGAAAACGACTATACGCATAATGTGAGATTATTCACATTGAGGATAACATGCGGAATATTGTATAATGTATTAAAATATATTATCGTTGGCAATTCGCAATAAATATTAATTTTATTATGCCCACTATAACATAATATAATGTGGATACAATAATACAATATACGATTGTGTTTACTCAGGTGTCTACGATTCTTGTTATTATATGCGTCTATGTATCTAGGAATGGTTTATACTACATGACTGCATATGTAGGTAATTGTTTCAGCAATTACGTTGAAAATAAATTGAATGAAAATTGTATTTTTTTCCTGTACCTACAGTCTAATATTCAACAATCCGAAAAAAACATTATTCTCGTATCCTGCGGTTTATAGTGACTGCGTGTTCGTCTGTGCCAGCTCGTCGCGATGTGGTCTGTAACTATGTGATGACCTCGCGTCAGTCAATCAAAAATTTCTCATAAACACCTAAACAAATATTATTATAATTTTACTATTCTTTATTAGTAGGTATATACAACTATTTTTTTAATGATTCCTCGGACGCAACATCAACATCATCGTCGAGATCAAAAAAAAAAAAACTGATACGCCGTACAAGTACATTATAGGTATAATATATTGGAGTGTAATATTCGACGATTCAAGGTCGTATTGTGGAAATAAGGAAAAAAATAAAACATCAAAAACTGGTCCGAATCTATAAATATTTTGTACTCTGATACTCCACGCAACAACTTCGGCGGCGATTGTCTGCGACGAAAAACAGAAGAAACCTGCAGAAGAGAAAAAATCAAAAAAAAAAAAATGAGAGAAAAATACCCCATTACGAGTGCGCTTACATGTCATTCACGTGAGAAAACGCTCTTTTATGCGTTGAAAATAATAAAACTCATCCCTTTCGATTTTTCAATACCTTAACGATAAATTACGAATTTACCACGCGCCACACTGTTCGGCGCTGGTGCAAGCCCGTGCGTGCTGCATGTACGGGGTGTTAGGTCATTTCTTCCTGGCCGGCGGCGACGGACGTTTTACGACTGTTTTGAAAACCGACACAATACCGTCAAAAATCGAATGCATGCTCACAAAATGTCGTATTATTGATGGTATAATAATACACGTTGTTTTCGTGTTTGTTGTCGAAAATATTTATCGAAACGCGTCACGACTTGTTTACTGGTCTGTAAATAGTGAAAAACAAATATTTTTTTATTGTTATTACTCGTTAGTCGTTGTTGTCGTCTCGCAGATCGCAATAGCTACCTACTGAAATAATCTTTACGTATCATATTATCATTGTCGGTATCATCGTGCTTACGAAATTGTTGACTATAAATGTGCACAGTACTAGAGAGTATAAGTAGACAACAATTGAATTGAATGGACGAGAAAAAAATTACGAGCGTCGTGAAAAAAAATTATGTTAAAAACAAAAACTCGATTGCGTAGCTTGATATTAAATAGTGGTTTTGAAGTTTTATCGAGTTGGTTTTTCTTGTTTAATTTGTTTGTCTTATAATTATCGTATTACATTTGATTACATATTATATGATAGACCAGTTGTCTACCACAACACGGTACAATTAATATAGTCACGAATTATGAGCGTTTTTTCGACGACTGTTAATTTTTATTGCGACACAGTTGAGTCGTAGTCCTGTAATATTATGGATAAACATTTTATTATCATTTATCAATTATTATCAGTAAACGTATACTTTTTTTCGGATCGTAATCGTTTGAGACTGCGCGTATATTACCGTTATCGATGTTTAACATGGATAATTTATCGATAATCAGTTACTTGCCGACAAATCAAAATGCAGTTTTCTAAATGCATTTTTATAACGTACTATCATTAATGCAGTGTACACACGATGTACTGTTGTATGGTATATAATATATTATATATACATGAATACGATATACGAAATATGGATCACTGACCCCGCGGGCATTTCTGGCTTTCTGCAATCGTTTTATAAACGACTAAAGGGGTTATTGGCTGTACTGCGAAAGGGCCGGCGGGACTGCATTAATAGTATCGTATTGGTGGGCGGTGTTTTAGGGGGGGGGGGGAGTGAAAAGACAGTCGGCGTTCAAAAGTCGCAAACAAGGAAACGCAAACATACATTTATGTAATATTACTCACATTTATATTACATTTATTTTTATAGTAGGTAGGTAGTAGGTACCTACAAAATGTGGAGACTATAGTGGTCGTGTCGACGATGCAAAAACAGTGACGTATCGTCGAAACTGGATTTTTTTTTACACTCCGTTTTCGTACATAATACACGTACACACCGTTACGCGTCGTCCCTGCCGTCCTCGGGTCCGTTATATCCGTTAGCGATTAGCATACCGATTTGACAATATTATATCGCACGCGATTTCTGGTCGCGACACGTCATCGATCGTCGTCGGCCGATCGTCATCGGCGTCGCCGGTAGCAGGAGCTCTTGGCGATTATGCGCGCGGAAGAGTGTGGGGTGAGGATTTTTTTTATTTCGGCAAACTTTTCACTTGTTAATGGGCCGTACACCGCGATCGCTCTGTACAAACACACACGCGCGCGCGCCCCGCCCCACCACCCGTCGCCCGACCCATAATATTCCGTCCCACTTCACGTCCGATTACAACTGTGCGCGCGCCTGTGTGTGTGTCCTTTACCGCCTGCCTGAGACATGCACCGCCGCGTGTACCCCCCACCGCTAACGGCCGCCCGTCCACTATAGCGTTTTCCCCGCTGCTCGCGCCCATCCCTTCCACGTTGCATTCGTCGGTGGTGGTGGTGGTGGCGTTGGCGGGTGGCGGTGTACATACACCGCTACCACCGGCGCTCGGCGCGCTCCTCTCTCACAACGGCAGAGGCGGCGGACACTCAATATGGCTTCCGTACGATTGGTCTCCGGTCGCTCGTCCGTTCCGTAAAAGTAAAATAAATTTTTTTTTTTAAATAAAAATTTTTAACGAAATATTAGTACTTGTTATTTAAAAAAAATAATTTATTATACCTATAATATTTCGCGTGATCGTCAGTGGGGCCGCCGCCCTTGAGTGTAACATATTTTTATTTCATGTAAATCGTTTTGTGCTTGTGCGCTAAAATCTGTGGCCGTATCGTAAAAGTGTGTTTGGTGTGTGTGTGTGTGTATAATAATTATATGCACTCGTCCGATTCTATAAATTATTATAGTTAATGCTGGTGTTGTGCTCCGAGTGATTAGTGTCGGCAGTGGTTGCTGTCGTGTACGACGCGGTGCGTACGACTAGTGAAAATATTATATAATTGATGTGTAGATCGTTGTGGCTTTATAGAGTTAAGAGTCGTCGAGTGTCGGTGGTGTAAATCCGTCGTCGGCGTCTTTGTGTGCGATATCCATTATGTCGTCTTTCTGAATCGCTTCGGAGAGACCGAATCGCCGCCGCTGCTGCTGTCGTCATCATCGTCATCACCATGAATTACCGTCCGAAACCCAATCCTTTCGATGGCTTGAGGAACTCTCCATCTTCGCACAACCGTGGAGGACTCAGCTACATGACTACGTGAGTTCTTTTAGCGTTTATATTTCCCTGCAGTATAGCCGCACCCATCACACATGGCATGGAAACGTACGTCCTTCGTCGTCGTCGTCGAAACCCCTCGGCAACCCGGTATTTGGGTCGTAGAAAGTGTGCATTTCTTATCGCATTCGAATTAGCACATAGATAGAGCCGTCGATCGACGTGCTTGTTCCCTGTCTTTGATTTGTCCTATAAATTATTGTGCACGTGTCTCTGACCGGCGTTGAATATCTGCCGTCTAAGTTTTTTCCCCGCCCCGCACCTGCCCGTTCGAAAAAATTTTCATTTTCACCGTTTTCATTTCTGTTCTTTTGCGACGGCATAGGTACAGGCAGTCAGTAGTATAGTATAGTGCCGTACGGTAAATACTTGTTTAAGAGTGTACGGGATGTCGGGATCATCCGATTTCCGTGTGTCTCGCGAACTTTCCCCCTTTGGTTGAAGAGGATTAACTAGAAGATTGCGGACGAAACCCAAACAGAGCCGCTCCTTGTCGTATGCACCTTACTCACTTACGTTATAACTACTTATACCTATATATATATGTATAATATATCATTACATAAGTATTTGACTGTCGCACAGGACTTTCCGTTTACGTCGTCTCATCTCCGTCTATTACATTTATATATGGCTCATATTTTTTCGCAATATTAATAAATTATCTTCGTCGCGGAAAACGACCCGTTGTATGTGTGGCGCATATTACGTGTCAAGTTTTATTTCGTATCAAACCGACATTGACATTTTCCATTGGAAAGTGGATGGCGAAAATTTTACGTTCGCGCGATGATGATGGTACAATTAGGTAGTAGGGGCCCGCGTCTAGCATGAGATTAGAAATCGGGTCTTCTGGGTGTGTCTTATCTCGTCGTAGAGTTTATTATTATTAGGCCTGTTCACGTATGCAGTAGAGATGGATGGTTGACAAAAAAAAAAATGATATAATAATAATAATAATATGATAGGTGCCTCACTGCCTGTATGTATTTATTATTATATAAACCGTCGTTGTTGCAGCCGTTTTACCTTGAAAACTGCCAACTGATGGTCGTGTGTGTGTGTGTGTGTGTTACTCATCGTAACATCTGATGAATAAATTACATGAAAACACACGACGTTTTATAAATTCGAAATTCGCCAATCTTTGATGAATCGTCTGTACTTTATGATCGTAAAATGTCGGAAGAGGTAAACGGTCGATTACTCAATAAAGATAAGTGCTCCGTATCTGTATACGCGCACATATTATACTGTATGCGTTTGACTAGAGTGGCATAACCTTTTTCTTCTTTATCCTCCTCGCTCCTCGTTGTCTATTTAACGTTTAACGTATTAAGACTTGTCGTATAACGTTTATCTACAATGAACTCTTCACTCATAATATTGTTTCCCATTAAAGCTCTGCGGAGGGAGAACCGAAAGAAAATTTTCCAACTATACTGTAAACAGCTTACGTCACGAATCACAATTACAATAATTTCAATTGAATAAAAAAGAAAAATCGCATAAAGTATATTTTATGTAAGTATTTGAATTTATCATACGATATACGCGGTTGTCGCGCATCAGTCTCTCGTTGTACGTAAGCTTTTTATTTTTATATCACCAACATTCTTATTTTCTGTTTATGACATAGCCATAGGTACCTATATATTATGCATAGTAAATAATAATTCCCCATCGTCATAATACGGCCATTGTACTATCATAATATATATTGTTGACCGATTTCATAATGGTTTATTTTTCAAGCGTAGAGGATGAGTTCAATTAACGTCAATTATGTCGAATAAGGATTTTGTTTTCGATGAGCCCATTTGCGTCTAACTTTGTTTGTAATTCGGTGTTCGCTACGCTTCGATCCGTGATTATACAACACGACGATAGTCGCCAATTTGTTATTAAGATTTATTTGTTTTTCTACTATTAATATCATTATTGTTATCAACCATATGTCATATAATCGATTTAGATTTTAGATCGTTACCTATATTATATTTACTATACTTTGTTTTCTTGCATTATTTGTCTATAAAATATCGCAAACGAAAAAAATAAAGAAACAATAAAAGACAATAAGAAACTTTCGACTTTTTTTGTCAAATCATAGGTGGGCATATGATGTATCGCTCACTTGCGGTGTATATATGCATAATAATAAGTTAAATGTACATATATTTGTCACATAATATTTCCTTCAATAAAATCCCTTGGTATTTATATCATACTTTCTCTGTAGGCCCTACGCTTATTTTTTGGTAGGGTTTCTTTTTGGATCAAACATTCAAACTTCTTAAGAAGGTACGTGCAAAACATTCAAATAAATATTGTTCAGGTGCCGAAATGCTATTGTAGACTGTAATATTAGAATGTGATACTTTCTCGAAAAATTGTCCCATAGTCCATATACCATAGTATACAATTACGGATTGTACGTATTGAACAAATGATACAGTGTAAAATTATGTAACATTATTTGGGGCGTTCACAATTAATTAAAATCTACTAATAAATCTTTAAAAAATGCTAATTACAATGGTGTTATTATCCTTGAACCGAATAAGAATTATATTTGTTTCATAATAGCTTACACTATATAAAATATTATGTTATGAAGCAAATAACTTAGAAATTAAGTACCTACTTAAAACAATATTTCATTACCTAAGTATGTATATTATATTTTTGTCACTATAAAAAGTTTTTGTTCAAATTTTCCATGACGAAAACAATATAATTACCAAACATAGATGATATCAACTCTCTAAGGTATATTACATTCATATGTAATAAAATAAAATAAAATAATAAGAATTAATATTAATTAATATATAAATAATAATTATATAATTTATTTAATTAATATTTATATTTCAATATCTATTTACTTTAAAAATTGCAGGTTTACAATAGAATTTTATTTAAATCGATATTCGTTTTCTTGTCGGATGGTGTGATTTGATAAAAACCAAGTGTTGAGTACCATTTATATTTTGTTATTAAAATGTTAATCATGTTTACTTGTCAAATTTCCATGATATTTATTTTCTTTGACGTTGGTCCATAATCCATATTAAAACATATTAATAATATTATTTATGAATTATGATCTTAGTTTGAGAAATATTTACCTCGTTTTTACTTGGAATTTACGTTACTGTACTAATACTGTTAGTTGTGTTTCAAATTAGGGGTATACAAGTTGAACCGAATTATATCCGTTCCCTTAACCCTTTAAATTTATGAGCTCACAGATGAAATTAAACTTTCTCTTATTGCGTAATAGTAAGCTATTATTTTAGAAAATTGTATTAAATAGAAGAATTATATTTTATATCGTACCTATCTAATATTTTCGTCTTGTATAGCTTGTCTTACAGTCAGCAATCAAACAAAATTAATTATTGTCATCGTTGTGGGTGCGTATAACTGTATAAGTATACACAAGAGCGTGGAATTCCACAAAATTAATTACGAAAGATATCTAAAAAAATTTAGACCCGTGTCTGTTTGTTCCACTATTATATTTTTGTTTTCGTAGTCGGCGAGTATAAAATAACTATGTAGTTACGCGGAACACCGTTAATGGGCGCGTTTATATCCATCAAGAGTCGGTGTGTGTGGGTTTTTGTGCACTTCATGACCCAGACTTGTACGCAAAATTTAAAAACGGAAAAAAACGTCACGATTCTTTACGAATATGCAACAAAAGTCCACCTCCCAAGTTATTATTAGTCGCGCGTTGCGTCTATTTCGGGAATTAGAAACGACGAAAGTTAAAAAAAAACCAATCCAGTCAATATTGTCATTACTCGTTGCCAAGAGATGATTTTAGTGACCAATATCAATTATATTGTCAAGCGTCCGTTATCGTGTCTCAAATGGTTAACGGTGACAATGGTAATGATATTAATATTATGATAATCAAATTGTTCAACCACTTCGGCTGCGAGAGATTGGTCGAGTGGGGCGCATTGTGGCCGTAGTAGTCACGTCGTCGTGCGTATAATCATTTTATTGTAAATTATTATAATATTATTATTTCATTATGTCGTGTGTGTGTGGACGGTATTTTTACATCAAAAACAGTCCAACTGGTGCTTGGTGGGTGGGCGGCCTTAGCTAGGGATTTTGGGGCAAACCGTGAAGTGTTCGCTTCTTTAGCCGAAAATCCATCGTCAATACGGGCTGCGTTAGCGCCGGCTTTGTTGTTAAAGATTTGTCAAAACGGTCCCGGAAATCGATACCTCTCGCTCCATGTGTCCCATGGAAGGTTTTGCCAGTAGGCAGTAGCTGTTCATCCAATGTTGTTTCCGACTTCTTAATAATAATAATAATAATCCCGTACCTATGAGTGAGGCGGGTCTTTGCGTTGGCAGATCTGAATTATTACTTTTCGAAAAAACTATCAATTTTTAACTAAAACAAAATACTGTTAACTTAGTATTCTACGTTATTCGTAATTTTCGATAAGCGGTTACTCGGCGAGGGACGACAACGGAGATTATTGATTATTTTATTATTTATGAACAAAAATAATAATATAATATTATGTATAAATAAATGAAAGGAATCGCTCGAAATCGTTTCCGGAATAGACGACGACCACCACCGCCACCACCGCCGTCACCATCACCACCACCACCATCTCAGGTGCTGCCGTCGCTGCCATCGGTTTAAAGTGGTCGTCGCGGGCGCGTGAGCGACGTTGGCGACCCGAGCAACACCGTCGGCGGCACCAGATCGGTTCTCCCCACTTGCTGGCGCAACAGACGGCAACGTCGCTCGACTGTGGCGGGGCCCGTTTGCGCGATGACATCGCCGGCGCGAGCGATAATATATCATTTCACATATTTCGGTGTTATTGGCCTCCTTTTCAGGGGCGTCTGTCCTCATTCGTCCGCCTTACCCACCCGCGTACACATTGCCCACCCCGATCTTGACGCAATAGTATTAAACTGAACGCATCGCCGCGGGGG